GTATCAGTTAGGGCAATAACTAGTTGATGCTTGTTTCATTAATTGCAGAAATGATTAACAGATGGCCTTTTCTCATATAGGGTGTTTGGAAAGTTGCTGTGTTTCAATATAAAATACTGGTGAGACATGCATATTTTGTATTGCAACATGTCTGTTAATAAAAATATAACAGTTCAGTTACTTTCTCAAGAACCTCTTTTTGTTTTGTTAATCTGGGTGGTGACCTCCAAACACAAAACTGGTACAGTATTGAACTTGGTGTGATGCAACTTTAAGGCATTAAAATGAGCACGAACCATTGTCACCCACTAGAGGGAAGCAAATGTTTAAAAAATAAAAAAGCTATAAAATCACAGACAGCAGGTTCGTTTGGATGATTTCTCCTTTTCAAATCCATTGTTCATTCGATACAATCAGTCAATCCAATTCGGGCTCAATCTCAAGAAAACACACATCTGGATCTGTTATAGTACAACTCTGATAAACTTTAAAAACATGGCACAGTCACATCACAAGGGAACATGATAAAGGGGCCTCATTGGGAATTTTAACAAAAATATTTCCTTTAAACGAAGATAAGATTTTTTTTTCTCATTTCATATACTCTAAGGATAGAATAAAATCTCTGAAAATGGAGGTTTGGTGTTTGGAGAGTGCTATGTTGAACATGTTGCATAGTCAAAAGAGACGTCAATGGAAGGAATGGAATCTATAAGTTAAAAAGGACACATAAAAAGCTCTTTGTTTAATGCAGAGCTGGGGGGAAAAATACTCTGTCATAATACTTAAATGTGATTGTTTTGTCTCTCAACACTCCAAACAGTCAAACGCTTTAAGTCGTTGAAAAGCTTTTTTTTTCTCCTCCATATCGCTTTGAGCTTTTGTACCGCGGGGCATGTGAGCATTAGCGTTAATAACATACTGCAATTCAACGTTGTGCAAATGTAACAATCATACAACATCCACCGCAATCACTTGTGATTAAAAAGCATATCTAACAAGGGCGAAAGGAGAAAGGGATTTGCTTGATTAGCGTGTCACCCACGGGGTTTGGGGGTGGGGCATAAAAGTGCCGCTAAGTATCCATCTTTTCTGATAGAATCACAAAAATATCCTCTTGGCAAGCAAACAAAGAACTGGCTTCAACCAAATAATGTATATACCGTCATGTCTAGCCGTTCCATTTCTACAACCTGAAGTGCCACAGTTCTTTGTTGATTCTGGTTATTGTCCAACCCTTGGCTAACGCCATCTTAGCTTATAAAGTGTCTTGAGGAAGTGTCCCAAGGATTACAAAATAAAAGCCAGACATTGAAACATAATACGGGTAAGAACAACCACACCCGGACTCTGATGCTGGTTCGGACTTTACACACTCCAGCCAGGGAGCACAGCTGCATTTCCTTTTCTTTCTTTTTTTTTTTTTTTTTTGAGCCTTACACATACATTCAAATGTCCTTTCCCATCCATTGGTCCGCACTCCGTCCGTCCGACCGACAAGCCCACGTACTCTTGATGTGTCTTCTAAAGATCCCAATACTGTCTGTTTCTCGTCTCAGTAGCATCTGCAGACCTCTGCTTCGCCTCAAGTCCATCAAACAAGATCTACGATGCCAGCCGGGGTCACCGGAACTCATAGATGGCGGCGCTGTGCTCGGGGACGTGGGTGAGGTTTAGAGATTGGTACCTGAGTGAGGTGAGACAACATACTTAATGATGATTATTCAAATAACATGACCCATCTGTCTGTTTTAAACATCAACTGCATCTCTTGGTCACAAAGGTTGGCCCACCCTTACTATAAACTAAAACGTATTTAATAATCCAGGTTAAAAAAAACAACATAAGAAGTTCCAATAAATTTCTACTTCTCTATACACAGATTGGTTGACAATGCAGCAGGAAGAGAACGTGGAAAAAGCAAGATGTGAATGATGTGTAAATGTGAAAAAGTCACATACTATTAGTACTGCTGTGTACGACTCGGGTGCCCCAGAGTGGGTGCCCCATTTTGTCATTCCGCTCTGAACGGTCATGCCAATTGTTCTGGTGGATTCTAGTGAAAGCCATGCAGAACAAACATGCCAATAGAGAAAAGTTGTGGGTTTTTTTTTTTTTTTTGCTGTTGATGATTCCCCAATTTGGAGGAAAAACATGTAACATACCACCTGTGCAAACTCACAGCTTGCTAATATGAAAGGGGAATTGTTGCTTCTTGATTTGGTGCAGAAGGATGACATCACGTTAATATAAAGCAAAGTGAGCATCAGTTCCTATGTCGTCAGAGAGCTTGAATATTAACTGAAAACTAAATACAACTGAACATCCTCTTTTAAGGTCATGCTGACCTTATGTCAAAAATGGTGAAGCTAAGCTGGCACTGAAATAAAAGTGTCTCGGTCGTTGCCGACAATCTCCAGCTGTTCTGGGATGTAATCCAGAGACAAGTTGACCGCTATGACAACGAAAAAGGAGTAATGGTTGTGCCGAGGTTACCATTCAGAGCTCCGGTGGTAGTAGTAGCCCTCGATCGTTGCTGTGGATTTCTGGAAGCAAATGTAGTAAAATCCAGCAAAGGAAGCGCCACTGATGTCTTTGATTGTGTGGTCCGGGACCAGGAACTGCTCCTAATGATGCAAAATAGGCCTGACATTACTAAAGGTACGGCGTCAAGCTCACACGATAAAACGACAACTTACCTTCCATCTCATAAAAATATAGTCGGAATTTGTAAGATCCTCATAGTCAAAATCATCTGAGTTGAATGTCTTTGCATACTGGTAGAAGGCCTGGAACTTGCCCTGGTGGGAAACAGGAAACACTGGTCATTTCAGAAGAAACCTGCTCCTTGTCAAACCTTAAACAATAGTAGAGAATTACCCAGTGTTTACGATCCACATCCTCATCTGCGTCCCACTTTCGGGTGAGAAACGGCCTTTTTCTGCTGATTATCTCTCCAGCGAAGAACGTGGTTAAAGTTGGGTATTCCTGACCCCGAGAGACAATTAGGTTTTGAAATTAATCTACATGTGCATCATTCTCTTCACAGTAACTTGGTGATTTAGAATGTGACCCATTTTTTCTAAAATTAAAAGCTGGCAGGGGAGTGATACAGCTGCAGCTGCGGATGCTACATGGCCATTACGTTAGCTGCACAAGCTGCTTTCTGATTGGCTAGCAAATGAATGTAGTGCAGGAGTTGTCTTGAATTCTGAGAAAAGTGGGAATTCTTGTGAAGCGGAAAATTATTAACTTGCTTGTGCATGAAATGCGGCAGACTGTTGATGAATGCATTTTGCAGAAAGACGTCAAAAACTACTCATGACATATTATTCATGGCTTAAGATGGACCTATTAAATAGTGATAATAGCCCGGCTCACCTCTGTTAGTCCTTTTATTTTCAGGTAACCACACAAGTAAGAGTCCTCCATGGTGACGTGCTTGGAAGGAGAAAAAAAAACGTGAGCATGTTGACAATCTGGCTCAAAGCAGAATTGGCAAGTCAATAATGCCGCCCTTCCGAATATAACACACACACAACACATGCATTTGAGTTCAGTAGGAATTCTTCAGATTTATATTCGCAGATGCAAAGTCTTACTTGTGAGTGAGGTGTGTCATTATGGAGTAATAACTGTTTTCGTGGCTGTTAGTGTTGATTCAGGCAAAGCTAAGCGATTGCTGCCTTGGCGAGCTAGGCCCATGCTCATTGATTCTGCAACTGTCAATCATCACGCTCCCATTTGACAGATCACCATTGCCCCTCACAGTTCACCTTTCACATGAAAAATGCCCCTTCGAATGCCCACCTGTAAAACAACTTCCACGTCGTACGAGTTTCCTTTGCTCTTTTGGTGCCCCCTGAACTTTGAGCCGCTATACAACAGCGAAGTGACAACACCGGGCTGCCGGGTGTTGATCGGGGGCGGAGGGATAAGCGAGGCCGAGGATGCGAAGGCCGCGCAGTGGGAGTCGCTAGTGTATCCAGCAGGGACAGGCATGGCTCCCGTTAAAATGGCTGGGTACCCACACTGGTCAATCGCCGTCTGCGTGATGCCGGCGTCCCCGAAGAAGCGATAAGGGGGCTGAAGCTGTCCTCCAGCCTCTAAATCCCCTCGAAACCTGAACGCTGTAGTTTGCCAGGTACCGATCTCCGAGGGAAGTGGACTTCGTCGCAACGACGAAGGCAAAAGCATCCGCACCTCTCATTGGCTACCACTATTCGACGTGGTAATATCCTGTATTCTTATTGGTTCATTTGGCGGAAAGCTTCACGGGATTAGAATGTAGTTTTTTTGTCTTGTATAAGAGTACCAAGAGCCACTTAGAAAACTACAATTCCCTACTCTTTAAAATGTACTACCCTGCTGCTTGACAGACGCAGAGGTCACACGCGTGCTTTTGAACACGGGCTTCAACTGGGATGAAAAGTCCAGTAGGTATACTTAACTGATCATTTCACTACTGACGTGAAAATGCGATGTAATGCTCCTAAATACACGTAAAAATGTGGCTTCTCGTACTCTAAGAACAAGAACCCAGCGTGTTTGTACTCCTCGGCTAACCTAGCTTTCCGTAAACAGAACACATCACATCCTCGCTGCAATGTTTAGAAGCCTTGCTAGACTCCACCATCAGTTTGGAAATGCCTTGTCGCTGTGTAAAAGACGTACAAATCATCATCACTTCAGCTGTTCGTTAAAATACTCATCAGTCGCAACAGGTAACTGACAAATTTCTGCTTTCGCGTTGTGAAGACGGAACCAAACATATTCTTATTTGCTTCCAGAGAGAAAACGATTTTATCAGGATGTCACGATATCCCAAGGTGAAGGTATGTGAACTTAATCAGTTTCCAATGCATGCAAAATGATGAGATGCATTTCATGTCACAATCGGAATCAATGTGCTTGTTAATGATCACAGATTGTATGTAAAAGATAATCCTACAATATATTGTTAAATTGTCTCTCTTAGGAGGTTTATTTGAGATAAACCTAGACCGAAGGAAGCTGAAAACTCCTGGAGGAAAGCTGTTGACAGTGCCAAATGAAGCTCTAGCGATCGCCGTGGCAACTGAGTGGGATACTCAAAGGGATTCGCTGAAGTTTTATGCCATGCACCTGGTAAAGCTCATCACCTGACATTATAGTCAAGCGACTTTCATATCTGTGTGTAATATTTTGCAAAGATTTGTACACAGTCACTCAGAATATTAGTATTTTTGCTCTGCCAAAATCCCCAAATTGTTTCAATTCATTGTACTGTGACTCATTTTGCAGACAACCCTTTGCAACACTGCACTGGACAATCCTACACAGCGCAACGAGGACCAAATGATCAGCGCTGCGTTAAAGTTTCTGGAGACAGACACTGTTTGGTGTGTTAATTACACACGCCATTTCAACTTTTATGTGTTTGCAATGTCGATTGAAATGTAATAATAAGGAAGTAACTGTCGAAAGCCACAATGTACGATCTAGTGTTAATTAGGTTGATGTTTTATGCAGTTACAGAGTCGAAGAGCCCTATGGTTTGGTTGATCTACAGAAAAACGAGTGGGACCCTGTATTGCAATGGATTGAGAACAGGTAATCGTGGTGAACAAAAACACACCAGCACACTCCAAAGAAACGTATAATATATATTATGTGACTTGTGAATGTACGTAGATATGAATGCTATAAAGGACTTTCCAGATGTTCATTACATGAATTTCAGATATGACGTCACTATTGGCTCCTCGTCCAGTATTATGGGCCCTGACATCCCTCAGGCAACCAAAGACACATTCTACCAACATCTCAAATCGTACAACTTCTGGTCTCTCACAGGTATATATTTGCAAACGATTGCTTATTTATTTATGCATTTGGGTGGAAATGAGAATGCCGAATAACGTGCAGTTTAACAGCTTGATTGAAATATCAGATTGTTTTGATGTGACCAGAGTAGATCTCCATAATAATTTGGTTTCTTCCATGTAGGGCTTGAGTATGTGATCACCCAGCTGAAGTCTGTTGTGCTATCACTCGGAATGATTGACAGATATCTGAGTGTGGAGCAGGCTGTGCTCCTCTCCAGGCTGGAGGAAGAATACCAGGTACAACACAAAGGCTGGCCGCATTTTATTATTTTTTGTTTTTACCTTTAAATTCATCATCAAGTTATATTTGTCTTGGTGGAGACGTTGCCTTTTGGGCCTATAATTCACACTTCAGCGTTGAGATTTTGATAATTATTTAACAGCCCTATTCCGACATTTTTGGTCAGCAGCAATGACATGAAGAAATTATATTTGTTGTTGACTCACCCAGTACGCATTCTTCCTGTTCCCCAACAGATTCGATGCTGGGGAAATGTGGAGTGGGCTCACGACTATGACATGTATGAGCTTAGAGCCCGCACGGCTGCCGGTGCTCTGTTTGTACACCTCTCGTCTGAGGGTTCGACTGTCAAACGCAAACTTTTGCAGGACTGAGGAAGAAACTTGCATGCTCAAAGAAATGCAAACTTCCAGCCTAACTGACAGAACTCTACGTTGTATGAGTCAGAAATACAATTTTTCATGTTCATTCTGTTCGGCAATAACAGCTGTCAGCCGTTGTGGTCATCTCCACCCTTGAAAACACATTGCCAGTCTTTTTCTTGTGGGGGAAGGGGGTCTGTGATAGATGCCAAGTATGACACCACCCACTCAGTCTCCAGTTGGTTCTCAGTCACCTGTGACATTTTTGGACACTGTGCATTAAGTGAATGGAGACTTAATGCTCTTTCTTTTTGTTTGAGCGTTAAATCTCTGTCAGAGTTTTCATTGACTGACACTTTGAATCCATCCATTTCCTCTACTGTTAATCCTCATGAGGGTTATGTGAGAGAGTCCATCCCAGCTCCCTTTGGGCAAGACTCAGGGTCCACCCTGAGCTGGTTGCCAGCGAACTGTCTGCTACATAGAAATATGTTAAATGTGTGGAGAATGCGCTCTGTGGTAACGGGACAAAGATTTTGTTGAAATACTGTGATATCCACGTTCTCATCATCTTTTGTGGTAGAAATTAAATACTGTACTGTAAATTGTACATTGTTTCTGACCAATAAATTCACAGGAGCTACCACAATACGTAAAAGTGCCTTAATAGTGGCAAATCTAAAGTTGTCATTTATAAGTTTCAAAGCACAGTTTAGACAGCTATAGACAAATTCGGTCACGTTTGTCTTATTTCCGCACCAGCCAACATACAGTAAGTACACAATAAAAAATATATATAAATCCTTTCTTGCTACAAAACCAGAGCAAGCGAGGTAACCATAAAACAATTTATGTTTTACAGTGGCAACCTTTGGAGCCTTTATTTATAATCGTCTACCCCCGATGAGTGATGTCAGGACTGACCAATCACACAAAGGGGCAGCGTTGCTCGGCCAATGACATGTCTTGGGGGGCGGGGTATGCTGGAAGTTTCCTGATGTCTCAACATCACCATTCCCCGACCTGAATTGTTTGTTGACGAGCAAGATGGAGTTCCTACTGGGAAATCCGTACAGTACCCCAGTGGGGCATTGCATTGGTATGTAAAAAAAGGCATCACAGAAACGACAATGTTTTCAAATATTTGGAAAATACGTTGAATCCGTGCCGATGTTGTGTACGTGTGACTGAGCACTAGGCTAACAGGGCTCTTTTAAGGTCTCTCCGTTAGCCGCCTAGCTAACATATTTTGAATGTGATCGTTATAAAAGCATTACCGGTGACAAAACGCATGACTTAAGTCGTTTGTTGTGCTTAGCGGTCCGCAGATAACGTTTGCGAAGTCATTCGCTCATTCATTGGTGCGCTGAATGAGCAGAGCTCGAGCTAAGTTATCCAGTAGTTAGCTAAGCATTAGTCATCACCTCTTATTAACTCCATTCGTTGATGAAGAGGCAACTAAACGGCGTTTTCTCCCCTCGCTGTACTTGTATTCTAGAAAAAGCAACTGATGGGTCGCTACCAAGTGAAGACTGGACTTTGAACATGGAAATATGTGACATTATCAATGAAACGGAAGACGGGTGAGTGCACAGAGCAAATCAACACATTGGTCACTTCTTACACAGGTGCTTAAATGAAGATAGCTGCAGCGCAACACGCTTGCCTTTATGTTACATTTGTGTAATTTGAAGCCGATCTCTTTTGTGCACATACGATTTGATTTATACTAGGCCCCGCTGCTTATCTCGCTGTATGGTTGAGCTGTTGTGTGAAGTCCAGAGCGTGTTTGATAAGTGGTTGTAATTCGTCTCAGATGGGCTCGGCCTCTGCATGTCACTTTATAAATAGTCTGCTCACATCTACGTTTCTTCCTCTCTGGGTATTCATTGTATGAGATCCATGTCGTTATGCCGAACTATTCAAACAAACCATGAGTTAATTATTAATACCGCCTGTATACAAGTAAACACCGGCTTTGTGAAAATCATTGACTTAAACGAGTGGCTCTCGATTTTGAAGTTCATTTCCTATTTAAAAATTCTTCTGTGTATTATTTTATGCTGCCGTTGTTCATTTGAGGTGCCGTTTTGTGTGCAGGCCAAAGGACGCAATTAGAGCAGTGAAGAAGAGACTGAATGGCAATAGGAACTACAGGGAAGTGATGCTGGCTTTAACGGTGAGCGCACAGCCGAGGTGGATGAAATTAAAGTTGACCTCGAAAGGCAGAGCACACTCCAGTCGTTTGGGCCGTGGTTGCCGCGCTTTATGTTCAAACTGAAAAACACACTTGCTGAATGCATCCATTTTGCTTTGTTCATATCCCTGTCGTACAAGACTGTATAAAAGCAAGTTGACAAGCTGTTTAATAAAACTCAACACACCTGTTTTCAGGTGAGTTTCTTGCTGTGTACATAGCGCACTGTGCAGCCAGGAGAGCATGTGTATGCCGCCGCTTTGTCATAGGTTTCATTTCAACCTCTGTTGTGGTCGTCATGCCACTGGTACCCTTTGCTGGTTCAAGTGACAACAGTGGGAGATAAAGTGTATTCTGTGTGTTAAACAAGTTTGTCATTTGTCACCTCTTCCTGCAGGTGCTGGAGACTTGCGTAAAGAACTGTGGCCACCGGTTTCATGCGCTGGTCACGAGCAGGGACTTTGTCGACGGCGTGCTTGTCAAAATCATCTCTCCGAAAAACAACCCCCCCACCATCGTTCAAGACAAAGTGTTGGCCCTCATTCAGGTAAGATCACAACAATTATGGCAGGTGCGATGCACATGCATGTTCATTTCCCCTTTTCATGTACCGCAATGGAGAAATTGTTATTTATGATCAAAATACAGTCAATGAGGCGTTTATGAGACTGTGCAGCAGTGAGCGAGGTGCAGTCCGATTAAAATCGAGTGTCTGTAGGGCTTCACTTAGTGCGGCTCATGTTACCAGGCTCGGATCAGGTAACCTTGCAATGCTCTTCTTTCCACCGGTTGGCCATTGCATGGAGCCGGGGACAGGCGCATAACACTGTTTGTCAAACCATTAGGCGAACAAGTTTGTTCCGTTCGGGTCGTATGAGTCTAGTTGGCATGTTAACAGATGTTCTTATACATACCAAGTCGGAAAATGCTTTTGCAAGATTACCGGTTCCACTGCTGGAAAAGAACCAGTGTCAGTTTGAGTGGTTGTTTGTCTATATATGCCCCGCAGTTAATTGGCGACTAGTCAAGTTAAATTGGAGAAAGGATTATTATCGGAACCTGAACAGGACGAAAACCTAAAATATTGCTCCTCCGTGCCCGCACCTGCAGGCGTGGGCCGACGCTTTCAGAAGCAGCCCTGACCTCACAGGCGTTGTCCAAATCTATGAGGAGCTCAAGAGGAAAGGCATTGAGTTCCCCCTGTCCGACTTGGAGACCCTCTCGCCTATACATACGCCTCAGCGGGTAAGACGAGATCCCATACAAGCAGATGATTGTTGACGCGTGCAGCTAGATCCTTTCATGTCATTTGTTGCTTTGTACCAAGACTGCATCTGCACCGGAGGGAGACTCAACCCTGCATAAGTACTCCACGCCTCCCCAGCCTGCACCGCATGCAGTTCCAACAGCCTACACTAGCCCTCCGGTCCCAAACATTCAACCCTCTGGATCCATCAACCCAACACCTGAACAGGTACTTTTTTTTTTTTTTTTTTTTAAATACATACCGGGAATTTTACTTCCTGTACTTTATGTTGACCAGTGAGTCTTACCAATTGAACAGCTGGTCACATCCATTCCCACCAATAGGGTGCAATTGAGCCCTTTCAGGGACAGCGGTTACTACAGTGGACAGCTTCTCATGTTGTCAGGTTACAAGATGCATGCAAGGGTGAATTTTGTACATTATTTTTCAGTCTGTTGCCTTCATTTCCATGTCAGATTTGCAGACTGCGCAGTGAGTTGGATGTTGTTCGAGGAAACACGAAGGTCATGTCTGAGATGCTGACTGAGATGGTCCCGGGACAGGAGGACACTTCAGACTACGAGTTACTACAGGCAAGGAAGCGCTCCTGCCTTGAGTTTATGTGTGTGTGTTTTTCAAAACACACACACAAAACACTTCTGCACTCTTTTTTTTTTTTTTAATTATATTTATGTACCGTGTGTGTGTTTTTAGGAGCTGAACAGGACTTGTCGAGCCATGCAACAGAGGATCGTGGAGCTCATCTCTTGTGTCTCAAACGAAGCCGTGACCGAGGAGCTGCTGCACGTCAACGACGACCTCAATAACATCTTCTTGCGCTACGAAAGGTGAAAACGCTGACAGTGTCGTCGGCTGCACGCGGGACTGACCGCGCTTTTGTCGCCGCCCTTTTTGACAATGTCCCTTCGCCACTTCAGATACGAGAGGTTCAGATCTGGAAGGTCTACAGCCCAGAGTGTCAACAATGGGGTAAGTCGGTACTTTAGGCGGGGGCAAACGTGTCCCCTCGTCTGTTCTGCCATTCAGTGCTTACTGTCGCAACCTGCGGCTGCATGACATCACATTCTTCGGTGGGCCCGAATGCTTTCAGCCATCTTCATAATGTCATTCCCTGGTTTTCATGCCTGATTAACTGGAAACTCAACAAAGACACAGTCATTCAATTCGTGCATCAATGCCTTTATTCAGAAAATCGCCACGCAGCTTCAAACAAGAATGAATTTCAATTTATTTGAATTGGACGAGTAAAAGAAATGACGTTTTCCCACTGTATTTTTAAATCATTGAGATGCACCTTTTCTATTGAACAACAAAAACGTCACATCCAAGAAAATGATGCAAGCCATTTGCAGTGCGTTCTGCCGAGGCTTTGTTCCTGCGATATTTGTTTTCAAGAGAGATGTACTTTGCCTCCACAGACATTATCCGAAAGACAGAAGCATATAGCCGCTTGCTTTGTTAGGTTTCCGGTGACTCAGGCACTGTCTGTGCATATGTTCCATCGTTTCTTTGTCGCTGTCACCCTCCGGGCATCGAACTGTACTCACACTCTATTTAATTTTTTTTCCCCTGTTCTTTTCTGTTCTCTGTTTCTGTGGCTAGCTGAGACAGGCAAGTATGAAACCAATGTCGGCCTTCCTTAAAAGATCGGTAGCTTGTGAAAGTAGTCTGACCCCATGTGGACTTTTGAAACCTGGCTAAATATGAAGTTTCCAACCCTTTATAGCATGTTTTGTCTACGCAGCTCAATAAACTCATCTTTCTAAAGGGGAGTTTTATTCGACATTTTCTATTTATTTATTATGAGAGAAAAAAAATGCTCTGCTGATGATATATTCTGTAAGTCTTGTAGTTAAAGTATACAACCCCTTAAGAAACTTTTTTTTTCCCCAAACAGACATTTTCATGCTGTCCTGAAGCTTATCGGCTAGATTTCATTTCCACACATCGATGATGCCCGTGTCTTGCGCTGCATAAAGTCATCACCTGTTTATTCGTTTTTACACACTCGTCTCCACCCCGTATTATCATAAGGTTATGCTGTCACATATCAGCATGGAACCCCCCTGCGCCCCGATGCAGCCATACTGGGGGAAAGAAACACGCACAACAATGAGTTTGATTTGCTCATAATATGTAATTCTCCCTTCCCCACCAGGTCTTAAGTGAAGCGACAGAAGACAAC